GGGGGAGAGGTGCAGGAGGTCAGTCATCAGCTTGAACAAATGTCCCAGGAGTCAGATCATTTGACCCTTAAGGGAATGGGGCTGTTCCACTAAGGTTTTCCCTCCTGGCGCTTGGGCACATTCCATGTTGCTCATGGTTTCATGACCATGTTCTTGGTGGCTCTGGTCAAGACTTCCCAGCTTGCCATCCTCTCTACCTTTTGCTTAATCTCAATCTCTTTGTATTTTAGGTTTCCTGTCACAAAAAAGACCTCACATACTGAATCTCTGTATCTTCCTTTTAAAACATGTTCCTCTCTGTTGTTTTAGAGGAGGCCCTTGAGGTTTCTTTTTCATCCATTTTCAATTACATACTCATAATTATCTCACATGAGTACAAGGAACCTGTATTTTTTTTTTTTTTTTTAGTGCTTCCTAAGCGAAGCTGGGGCTCATCAGCACAAACATTCCCTAACTGCGGCCTGAGAGCACAGCCAGGAGAATGGGAGGACAGTCAACCAGAAACTACTGAAGATTCCTTTGTTTGTGCTAGGAGAGTATGTCATAACCCACTGGCCACCAGGAGCACACCTGAATGACCCAACTGCTTCCTTTCAGCCCCTATAAAAGAAGTTCTTTACTGTTTGTGCCCTGGGCTGAAGTAGTCTATGATTTCCTGGATTCCCCATACTGCTTCCTGGCAGTGGTTAACATTCCAGCAAGTTCCTTATCGCTGTGATAATTCCCACAGTCTCCGGGCCTGGATTGGGTGGGGAGTGGTCTGTCCCCTGACACTGAACACAGCTGACCCCCTGAATCCAGCTGTGTTTAACGTAGATCCTAGGCAGTTACTAACAGGATCCAGTGCCGCAGGAAACCCTGGGGTTGTGCCATCCACACTGAGGTTCTTCTGCTCCACTTCATCACCCACAAAGCCACTCATGGGTCCTTCGTGGATCCCATCATATGGACTGGCTTCATGAAGAAGGCAAGGGATCAAGTCTGTCTTCAACTCGTCTTGTCATCTCAAGGAGCGATGAGACTAAGCGTGGATCCAGAGGGAAATGAAGCTGGAGGTTAATACAGTCTTACACACACACACACACACACACACACACACCGGTCATCTATTGCTTTTATGCTTTTCAGAGTCTCAGCTAAAATGGATCCGGAAAGAGCCCCGTGATAACATACCACGACGTTGATACAGTAAAGAACAGGCTGGTATAAAAATGTCTTTGCACCTTCCCTGGCACCCCCTCATCCTCAGTGGGGCTGGGATGTTTGTTTTGTGAAAGCTTTAATTTATTATATTGACCACAAAAAAAAAAAAAAAAAGTCTTTGCAAAGTCCTGCATTCAAAGCCCAGAGACCCATGATCTCCAACTGTTTTGGGCCACAAAAAATAGTTTTATGCTTAGACTGGCCACAGAGCCTCAGAAACAAGGGGATTAATACTTTATAGCCTCCTGTGCTAAAGGGCTTCAAAGTGAGCCTCACAGCTGAGAAGGGTCAAGAGGCATGATGCCTGTGGGTGAGGAGCATTTCTCCAGGATGAGCTATGTTGAGGGGAGTGTGCTAATTTTTTGGGTCTTTTCTAGTGAGGAAGGTGGATTTAGGTGAGTTTGGGAATTGTCTGTGTTGCTTTCTAGACGGGTTTGAGAGTTACCGTCCTATGAGCATTACTGGGAGGTGAAACGTTCCCAACTTCTTTCAAATCCTCCTTGGATGGGTGCTTAACAGGAACCAGGTAACCACGGAGGCCCATGGCTTCCTTGTACTTGATATTTAGGAAAAATATTTAGGAAAACCCCTCTCCCTGATTCCTTAATGGGGAGTTCTTAGGTTAAGCTGGTGTGGAATTGCTCCAGCAAGTATTTATTGGCACCTACAAAGTTCCAGGCATTAGAGATACAGCAGTGAATACAAAGAACCAAATCTACCCTCGAGGAGCTCGAATTCTAATGAGAGGGCTAATAAGGTCCAATATTTTGAGACCTCGCTATTGATCAAGTATGGGTTTAAGCGCTTTATTTGTATTATCTCAATCCCCACCACAAACCTATAACGTCAATACTATTGTTATTCCCCATTTGCAGGTGCAGATATTGGGGCTCAGCAAGCTAACCTGCCCAGACACCTTGGCTGGAGAGCCAGCCATCTCAACCACTATCTGATCTTCCAGGTCAGAAGACAGGCTTAATTGCAGGAGGGATTATAATGGCAAGGCAGAGTTGTCCTTTATGAGTTTGGAGACTGGGGCCAGTGTTTTAATGCCTAAATGCAGTCCTTCGGAGCAGTAGTAAAGATGGAAAATTCTCATGCACACTGCACCTATGTCCATGAGAATGCCATGGAGAACAGGCTCCCTTGTTCTCTCCTGATTCAGGCCAGACAGCACTCGCTCTGCCTGTGGAAGTCAGTCCCAGTGAAACTCTTTACCGGGGAATCTAATCTGTTCATTCTGTGTTCAGGGAGTCAAGCTTTTTTTTCCTTCTGAAGCCCAGCCTCACTCAAGACACCCTCCATCACGGAACCTGTTTATCAGGAAGAAGGCAGCACGGCAACTCATAAAGTTTTAGGTCACACAGCTCCCAGTGTAAAGAGTCCAGGAGAGAACACTCCCTAGCTAAAAAACGAAGATTTGCAGTGACAAGGTGATGAAAAGCAAATCATGTGTGCATAAACGAAGCCACCCAAACATCCACACACCCGCATACCCATTGCCTACCCCACAACAACAACAAAACCCACAAAACTGGCCACACACAGCCAGATGTGTAAGTTTGCAGTGAGAACAAAGGCAGCCATAAATATTCCAAGGAGCCAATAAAAAGAAGAAGATGAAGAAGAAGAAGGGAAAAAAAAAAAAAAGCCCAGGAGTGGTTAGCTCTCCAGAGTAATGGGCTCCATAAAAGCTTTTATTGTTAAGAGAGTTACTTTACTAAGAGCTATGTGAAAAAAGTCGAACGAATGTGAAAAATTGCATGCAATAACCTGAGCTTGAAGATGATTATCAACCTCTGAGTCTTGTATTTTGGAGTAAGTCAGTGCCGCTATTAGAAGATTGCCATTGTAGTTAAAGAAAAGCTTGTTTTGTACTTTTCTCCCCCTTCTGGGTAAACAGAGAGTCAATACAGGCTTCTCCTCTGTGCTAGCCCACTTATTTGAACAATTATTTTAAAGACATAATCCAATTTTACCATCTTTCTGAAAGTGCAACTCTGGTGAAATTTTCCAGCAGAGTTCTACACACACAACTTACTAAAACAAGAATTGAGTTATTTCCAGCCTGTATTCCTTCCCTCCCATCTGCCCTTCACCCGCACCCCATTCTTTAGCCATCTGTTTGTTTTGTCATTGGCTATTGACAGGATAGTGGGTGACATTTAAGGGAGTGGACCCATCTGCACTTCAACCATTCAAAGGATAGCCAACTAGAATGGTAAAAAAATGGATTTTTTTTTTTTACATTATTTTCTTAGTCTATCGGTGTGGTTTTCCTTACCTCAGTATGAAAGACCCTGCTCTACCCTTTCCTCAGCAGATAGAGGCAGTACAGCTTTCCAAAATGGTGGTGTAGGGGGTGAAATGTGGGAAATTTGTTTAGGAAATATTATCATTGTGTAGATATTAATGGTTGATGCTTCTGAAGTTCTATTTTATGTCATTAGAATAATCTGGGACAATAACAGCTTTATTATTGCTTTGAGTTTACCCTGATGGAGCGTTATCAAAGTTCTAATTATATATGTCGGACATGTAACAACATGGTGTAGACTTTGGAAGTTCCAGATAAAATTAGGACCAAACTCATTTGATCAGTTATCAGGCAGATGGCTTGAGTGCCTGCAAACAACTCTTTTAAATACTTTTAAAGCATTTAGATAGAATATGTAACAACTTTCTTTCACAGGTGATCTAATCAGCAAATGGAATTCCAATAAGTGGCACCTTAACTTAATTAGGAACCACTAATCTGGCTTTTTCTTCCTATCTGGAACACTCTAGGACTCGCAGCCATTCTCAGTGCTCACACGGACCAGATCAAGTCAGGGACCGTGAAGGTTAAGGTTCATTAGCTCCATAGGAAGTCCCCCATTGACTTGTTGCTTTGTGTTGCATCAACTAGAACAATGGTAGAAAGACAGAATCCATATACACCTTCCATGTGGTTGAAAGTATGTGGGAGGGAAAGACATTGATAAAGATTCTCCATCCTGTTGATTTCTTTCTACAACAAGCACATAAGAGTGCATGTGCACGGAGTCTCTTGCTTACCACGTGAGACTCTTGCTTACCACAAATGCTAAGTCAGTCTACTAGAAGACGGACGAAGAAGGGGAGGTGAGTGGTAATAAGCACTTCTGACTGGATCACCAAGTTCTATCAGGGAACACAACTCTTCTCTTCCTCCCTCCTGGATCTATCTATGCATCCTGTGGAAGTACCTTGAGTAAGTATTGTGTGTATCCTGGATATATAAAAAGGTAAAACCATTAGGATTTACTAATGGTTTGAATATGTGATATGACAGAAAGAGAGGAGTCAAAGAACATACATATTTTTACCTGAGTAGCTAGAAAGCTGGAGTTGCTATTTCCGGGGAGGGGAGAGCTGGGGGAGAAAGACTAGGTTCGGGGAGAGGAGTTCCATTTTAGACATGTTCTATCTCCAAAGGGAGATACCAAGTTGGCAGTTGGATGCACAGACCAGAGTTCAGTGGGAAAGGTTGGGGAAAATGGTGAGTTAGGAAATGCTTAACAACTAGTGCTCCAGGGTGGTGGTGGGCTGGGGTAGGGGGTGGGGGGGGGGCTCAGTATGTCGTGTTTGTCAGCTTCTTTGGAGTAACTACTTCACCATGGTTGATTTCTAGTTACCAGCCTAACGGTACTATCATTAAATACAGATTTGGGAAGAAAGGTGCTCTCGTGAGCTCAGGTGAGCTGGCTCAGGCATGTCACAAGGAAGAGAGACATAATGGGGGAGTCATTAGGCTGTAAAAGAGCCTTGAGAGTGAACAGTAGCTCTTGGGGAGTGAGGAGAAATAAAGTGAAGATATTTAAAACCTGAGCGGTAGCCTTAGAAGATGATGAGGAAACAAAAAAGAGAAGACCAGGAAGGAAACTAAGAAATGTTTTAAGGAGGAGGGAGTAGACATCTGTCAAGAGCTACTGATGGGCCAGGTAAGATGAGGACTGAAAACAGGCCCGTGGGATCAGCTCTGTCACTCCAACAGCAGCAGCTGCAGGGGGGGTGGGGGGAAAGAAGCCAAAGATACCCACCCTCACCTTCTGGAAATAGCAGCAGCTGGAGGCAGGGTGGCTTTGGCAGCTGAACCCTGTATTAAAATCTTGAAAATGCACTTTGGGCCTTTGAATTAGAGTAGATTTCAAAATCACATGATGTCAAGACCGGAAAAAAAAATCTTGATAGGTCTCTTGGCTCAAAGTGGCTCAAAGCCACTAGGAGGAAAGAGGGAAAGGGACGAGCCTCTGTTCAATAATTTGAAAAGGTGTTTTAAAATCACTACAATGCCCTTTGAATTGTCTACTGTTTCATGTGATTCTGTGAATAAGAACCAGTCCTTTCATTCAGGCTCACTAACCAACAACTTCATTTAGCACTGCAGAGGTGGTACAAAAGTTTGCGAGGGCATTTTTGTCTCAGAGTCTAAGCAGGTGTTTCCAGCTCCTGTGTTACTCTCATTGTTTTCTTGGTTACCTCTCATTCTTGCACAATGTTTAGTACAACAGCAATGAGAGACATCTGGGATGCATATTATTCACAGGTAAATACGGTCAGTGTTTCTCTCTTTGTAGGCCATCCGTCTCTAGACAAAGCTATTTTTTTATGCAATCTGGTTTCAGGGTAAGAACTGATTTTCTTTGATACAGCTCTTTGCTGGCCCTCATTTGATCATTCATTCATTCAAAACACAGCGGAGTGGAGTGGTTGTGGGGAAGGGGCTGGAGAGGAAACATTTTCCAGAGGAAGGCTCAGCAGGGGCAAAGATAAGGAAGCCTCCGAGAACGTGTCATGTTCTAGAAACTAAATCCAAAGTAAGGTTGGATCATGCAGGTGTGGGATTGGTGAGCTGTGAGAATCAAAAAATAGGCTTCTAAGGACTGTGTAAGTAATGCTTCTTACCTCTCTTCTCTTCCTTTTTCTCCTCCTCCTCCTCCTCCTCCTCCTTCCCCTTCCCCTTTTCTTTCCCCTTCCCCTTCCCCTTTTTCTTCTTCTTTAATGGAGACGTTATTTCAGAAAGAGTGAGATCGAGGGCCCTTACCAGTGAATAACTTGGGAACCATTAACCCATCCTATTATTTCCACTTTGCTGCGTCTTTGAATTCCTTCATATAGTTTGATTTTAATTTTTCTTAAAAAAACCATCTCCCCTGTTGCCTTCTCTCCAGAAAGAAAGAGGTCATCGGTCCTTCAAGAGTTCTTGCCAAACAGGCAAATCAAATCAGGCAAACCCACAATGGAGCAATTTTCACCTCTCCCGGTGTATATTCTCAGGATTTGGCTGGATTTTTTAAAGTAATTGCCAAAAAGAAGGAACCTTTTCTGTTTCACTCTCTGCTGGGTCATGAAATGAAACTTCAGTCCTAGATTTTCAGATTATAGGGCTTCATCCACTTAGAGGCAAATACAATTTTTTTAAAAAGGTCTCTGTAGACACAGCTTTTGCTGCTAAAGGGCTAAGGATCATGTGAAACAGGCGTCAGGGTAGAACTGATACATGGACAAATAGAGATGATGGGGAAAAGTCTTAGAGTTTAGCAGGCAGTCACATCCTGTTACTGATGGGTTGATTGATTGGAAGAGGTCAGACTTCACATATTTGCACAAACAGCACGATATGTATAAACTACGGCAAATCACAATTGTGTTTCCATCTATACCTGTGCCAGACTGTGCTGTATCTGAGAACCCGTTGTCAGGCCATCGGGCCATACAAATATTGAAATGCATTATTCTATGAATGGCAGAGAGCAATGTAAAACACAGAAATCCCTATCTTTATGAACCGTCTACGCCGGTGGGGACAAAGACACAACAAACTAAGCCAGTCAGTTACAAACAGTGTTAGAAAATGACGAGTGGGGGAAAAAAAAAAAAAAGAAAAAAAATGATGAGCAGAATAAAGGAAAATCGAGCAGGAAAGACGACAGCAACTCGAGGGACACGATTCGCAGTTTTAGTTTTTGCATACTTATTTTTGAAAATAAAGCTAGTGTGACATAGCAGTTTTGATTTTTTTTTTTTTTAATTAGCTCAGAAACACTTCCTGTTTGGGAGCTGTTTGTGGGGACTCCTGCATGTCGCAGAAGGGGAGCCCTGTGGCCAAGCAGGGCAGAACCGCCCTTGGCCCATCCCAAGGAGCCCGTGAAGGGCAGTGCTCACTGGGGCTGCTGGGTTTGCTGGCTGTGACCCTCCTTCGGCCCCAGAGCACATAGGTTGAACTTTGCCCTCAGGAACCATGAGCAATGAATGTGGACATGGACAAAACAGCATCAAGTAGGAACAAAATCTTCACCTTTCTCTACCTTCTCTCTGGGCCAGACTCAGCAACTTGGGTGATAATGCGTATCTTGGGGAGGGAATTTAGGATGAGATAATTACATTATTTTAGGCTAAGTGCTCCTTTCTTTAGAGAATGGGATCCCCCAAAGCAATGGCTCTCTGGTTAAACAGCTTACAAATCACTTAGGGATCCTGCTGTAAAGGCAAGTTCCTGGCCAGGTCTCCAAAGATGTTCAAGTCTGTGGGTCATTTTTCCCACCTCCCTGAAGTGATCCGGACATAGGGACGCTACTCAAACTGACTTTTGAACCCTGCTGCCTCAGGGAAGACAGAAGAGCTCTAAAAGTCACTTTCTCCTTGACTGGATAGGTATCAGTCTTCAGGTTTCCTAAGCAGACTCACCCCTTGCTTGGGGACAGAGAGATGGAGAGATGGAGAGATGGGGGAGGGACAGACAGGGGGAGAGAAGGAGTTAGTTCTGGGGGAGAGGGTGGCAAGCAAGAGAAAGAAAAAAGGAAAAGAGAATTGGAATGTAGACTCAACCTCAAAGAACGAAGGGCAGGGAAAGAATGTTGCTAACTGGGACTGCACTGGCTTGGGAGACCCAGTGTCCCACAATAAAGATGGGATTTCAGAGATAAGCAGCTTCACGGAGGTTTGTGCTGATTGATATGCTTCATTGTGTTCTAAAGATTAGAGAAGTTAGAGAAATAAAGCTTGATAATTAACGAACAGGAAAACTTGAAAACACAGGACAGGCAAGTAGATTTATTAAAAGCAGTCCTGACATGCCCATTTTTCAGAGTTCAGTGTTTCACCAGCAGAATATAAATTTAAAAAAAAAATCCAAGATTTATTTTTATATTTCACACACTTGGTTTAAATGAGAATGCTTTATACCCAAGCTGTATCTACTTGGCCATGGGAACCTGTTCCATGAAACAGCTAGAAGACACTAGACCACATTTCATTTCTCCCCCACCTGATATTTTCCAGCTTACAGTCTACACAAAAGGATATGGTAATGCACTGAAGCAAGAGATTCAAATGAACAACAATTCCAGGTAAATAAAACCTAAGAATAGATGTATTTTCTAATCATCTTAACTTTTTTTTAAACTTTCTTTTGCAATCTTCATCAATCTGCTTTTGCCTCCTTTTTTGAGAGAAACACGCGCGTGCACACACACACACACACACACACATTTATACACAGGTGTAAATGACTGGTAATGCTTAATTTATTAAATCTCCTACAGGAGTTCACTTTTGGACACAGTTCAAGAGGACTTGTATCAAATGAAAAAAAAAAAAAAAAGATGCTGAGCAGCACATTAAAAAGTCACTGATCTGGGGCTGGAAGTATTTTCTTGGGCCCTAAAAATCACCTCCCTCTCTTCTTTCTCCGGTCAAGCAGTTCAATTATTTCAGCTCTGGGCTCACGGACTCCCTCATTCAACTCATTTACAAAACACCACATCCCTGATAAGAGAAACCCTGAACTGCTTCCAGCAGACACTTTTGCTCTTCCAGGTCTATTGGAAAATGGCAGTTAAACAAAATGAAACAAAGAGACCAGTACGCAAAGAACTATGACCAAGAAACTAAAACTTGGAATCGAGTGGCTCAATAACCCCAAGAGGGAAAACTTTGAACATACCTCAAGCCCTAATGGGGCAGGAAGGCTGAAGTCTTCATCATGTTAGACTACACAGGGTCATTTGTTGCGCCACAGTCAAATATTTTGTTCATAATGAGACCTTATTGGGTTTGGTTGCTGTAAGCTTTTCAGCTTCTAATTATGGTGTTTAGAAGACAATGGAGACAGCTTAAAATAATAAGAATGCTGCTAAAACTAGTAAGATTGCTGCGGTGTTACAAAGAGAAATGTTGGCTCTCTGTGTATAGTATACATTTAACCTGTCAGCAAACACAGAGCGTTTTACAGGTGAAATGTAAAGGGATGCATTTAGGAGCCATCACAAGAATGATGAGCTTTTTCATTCTGCTTTCAAAACGAGCTGCTTAAGTTATAATACTAGTTTAATATAAATTGAGTTTATCCTTTTGGAAACCACTTGCAATTTGCTTCTGTTAGGCCCCGGGTCATTATGATGCAAAGTTAAAGGTTCCTGGAACATAATGTGATTCAGGCCTGCGTTCTTGTTGCCATGTCCAATTCAGCTGAAAATGAGAATTATAGTGAGAGCATTTCCTGGTCTTTGACCCTTCCTGTGAGCTTTTTAAAAGCAGGGTTTATGCAGAACACTAACCTCATTCTCAGACATTCAGTTCCAACTAATATTAGCTGTGTTAAAACTCTTAAGTAAATTGAAAACTGTTTAAAAATACCTCATTCCAAGTTTAAAAACAGTGGGCACTTACCTTCCGATTTCCTGCCTTCATATACAAAAAGATTTGCCTGCGAAGTGGAATATATTTAAATGTTAACGAGGGCCTCTCTCTTTTCGCTCTCTGCCACAAATGTAGTCAGGCGCCACAAAGAACGGTTGTTTTAAAATCTCCAGATGTAACTGACAAGGGAAAGACCTATCATAGAACAATAGGAAAATAATTCAGAATGTGTATGATTTATATGCCAACCTCTGTTGCAAGGACTACAAAATAAACTAATTTATTTAATCTTGACAATAGCCCTATTCTTGGGACCCCCATTTTGCCGATGGGGAAACCAAGGAACAGAGAGGTTGAGTAACTTGCCCAACAGTCACACAGGCCAGTAACTCTCACGCAGAGGGAGATCTGAATCCAGGAGAACTGGCTGAATCCAGGAGAACTGTTCACACTTTTAACCCCTGACTCTCCTGATGAGGATGCTAGCCAGATTCCTGGGGGTTGGTATGGAACAGAAAAGATACTTCTAAAACAACTTCCATGACATAGAGGTTTGGGGACCACCTCACCACCGCCATGAACAACTAATTCATGAAACAAGCAATAAGTTGAAAGCCTTTCTTATTTTTAACTGCAATCTAGAGTTGAGCTCAGAATACACAATCTAGAGTTGAGCTCAGAATACACAATTTGATTAAAATCGGGATACTGGGTCAGAGCAGGACTTTTTTCAAGACTGTAATATTACCTTAAAACCCTGGTGGGTCTTACTTAGTGATGAAGGTGGACAACAGTAAGGACCCATACAAGCGCCTGCCAGTAAGTTTATATGCTCTTTCCACCCTTTATCAAACTGAGTGCATATCTTTCGCATCTTTCGCAGGATGTCAGACATTGGTTGAAATCATCAACCACGAGATGACAGATCTGAATGCATTCAACTCTTGTGTTCTTGTGTCTGAAAAAAATCAGAAAAAAAGAAAAACCAAGGGTCCAAACCATAGCACATAGTACCTGTGAACCTTTGGTTTCCTAAACACCTGTCCTGAGGCTATGCAAAGCAGCTAATTGGTGTGCGTTCTGCCTGCCAATCAATCAGTGCAGAGGTTTTGCAAAGGGAGGTGAAAATCCCCTGAGGCCCCGGAAGCTCCAGAACATCAAGGCAATGAATAGACCCCCAGAGGCTTTTCACTGAGGAGTGTAAAGAACATTTTCTTCTCTAGCCAGTGCTGGGCTGAATGAAACGACTCAAACGACAGAGTCCCCAGGGGATTCTAGAGGGTATTATAAGCCTAGAGAACAGTCCCCAGAACAGGGTAACAAGGACACAGAATTACAGAGTGTCCCAGTTGCACCCATATTTACAGAGTGATTAGCATGAGAAATTCTTGCTGTCTGCAAATAAGATGACAGGGACATCAGCCCTGTTGAAATTCTACATGAAAACCAGCTGTGGGAAGCAGGAGAAAAACTAAGTGTCTAGAACAGAGGGTCAGGGATGCATCATGGGACCACCAGACATACCCCTCTGTCACCTCTTTCTGTTGGGCTGAGAGCAAAGAAGTCTTGGTGCCAAGGTATTGACGTCCCCACGTGCCTGTTATTCCTGCTACCTCCCACAGGCTGCTGTAAGGAAAACATTGCAAAGGCAGACCGTGGAACTGGGAAGAGCAGGTTTGGGGAGGGGAAAGGTAAACAGTTAAGGAAATAGACATGAGCGGTGGAAAGTGAAACCATGAAGAGGAGAAACATTTTTAGGAATAGCTACATACTCACACCTTTATAACTCACTTAGTTTCTCAGAACAGCCTTGGGCCAGGAGTCGGAGAACTTCAGTTCTGTCCCAGGTCCAGGACTTCAGGGTGTGACCCTGAGAAAGTCACTTCACTTTTCTGAGCCTCTGTTTGCGATGAACACCATGACGATGCCAGGTAGCAGCGTTTTAAAGTGATGACATATTTTACAAATGTAAGTGTGTGAGGTCAGGTTCTGGGAAACAGATTTTGAATGGAAGGTTATGAGGGGGAAGTTTATTGGAGAGTCTCAGGTCAATACCATGGGGGAGGCGAAAAAGACAGGACCACGCACGGGGAGGAGTTGAACTGCAGAGCAGGGGCAAGACAGACCTCGGTCAGATGCATTTGCTCTGGAACTGGGATGGCTTTCAGTAGCCCCACACTGAGGCAAGGGGCCTTGGGGGAGGGGTGCAGAAGATAGGTCATCTGGGGAGACAAGGGCAACTGTGATGTTATGAGCTGAACCTAATCCTAACCCCCTGACCTTCTGGGCCACAGTCCACCCACCCCCCCAACGTCAACAACCCCCCTCTCCCCCCATGGAAGTCCCCTGTGCCCGCAAAAATTCCTACTTGACTCCTCCCCTTCACTGTTGTCACTCTCCCTCCCTTGCCTAGGCTTTATCTCCCCAGACTCCTGCTCCCACCCTTACCCCTCCTCCCTGCCCTGGGGTGGAGGAAGAGGGAAAAAAGGAAACAGAACCACACCCCTCGTCTTTATAAAAAGAGCTGCCAGGAGGGGAAGGCTAGTGGTTCTTACACTCCACAAATCAGCCAAACTTCCCAAAGTGCACTGCCCACAGGGAAGGAGCCTCATCTTGACAGAGGTCACTCTCTGAAGCCGAGGACAAAATTAGAGAGGGACTCAGCTGAGAGCTGCCAGCAGGCAGGACAAGCAAGTGGCCAGGAGGACCAGTGTCTGGGTCATAAGAGAGGTGGGAGCCCTGGAGAGGCAGTACTGAATCCAAGGCAGGCATGCAGACATTAGCATCTCCTCCTCGAGAAAGGTTTACACTGGGGAAGAGGAAGGCATCGCAACCAACTCATGACCATGAAGAAGAGGTCTTTTTAATAAGATTTTATTTATTTATTTGACAGAGAGAGAGATCACAAGTAGGCAGAGCGGCAGGCAGAGAGAGATGGGGAAGCAGGCTCCCCACTGAGCAGAGCGCCCCGATGCGGGGCTTGATCCCAGGACCCTGAGATCATGACCTGAGCTGAAGGCAGAGGATTAACCCACTGAGCCACCCAGGTGCCCCTAAATTAAAAAAAAATGATTTTATTTATTTATTTGACATACAGCAATCCCTAGTAGGCAGAGTGGCAGGGGGGTGGAGGTGGGGATGGGAAGCGGCTCCCTACTGAGCAGGGAGCTGATGCGGGACTCCATCCCAGGACCCTGAGATCATGACCTGATCAGAAGTAAGGCAGACGCTTAACCGACTGAACCACCCAGGCGCCCCAAGAAGAGGCTTTTAAATCTCATCTTGCACTGACCTTACTTTACCTTCCAAGGCCGCGGTTTCTTTGGCTGTACAAGTTGCTGGGAGCCGTCAAAGTGCCTTTCCAAGTCTTGTGAGTAGTCTGCTTTCTACACTGCATCTTAGAAAGATATCTACCAAAAAAAACATCTACTAGGTGCAGATAAGATCTTTGTTTCTCTCCCCACTTTAAGTCTAAGTTGTTACTGGTGCTTGTCCTCGGGAAGTGTGAGAGAAAAATGACAGTTTGAGGAAGGTTTAAGATTATTCAATGGGAATGTGGTTGGGAGAGTCAGGGTAATTTCTGAAGTTGTCTTGGCAGTCAGTTTGCTTAAGAAAATGTTTTTAAAATATGTCCAATTTTCAGTAATCTTGAAGAACTAGGGCTTTATATTTTGAACACTTAAAAAATACATGCAAAACAATACGTGCCCATTATAACAAACCTCATTATCATTCCTTCGAATTGGTAGTCAAATTCTCCAAATTTGAGTCTGTGGAAATCTGAACACTCTTGTCCTGGACTTCTAGATGAAATGGATGCCCCAGAAACTCCTCTCTTTGGGGGAAAGGATTTCTTCAAGTACAGGTCATAGTACCTTCATAGTATTGTGCTTAGTGACTTAAAATTGAGCTTGGGTCACTGGCCAGCATAGGTGTCTTTCAAGTTCTCAAGGAGAAACTCAACTTTGTGTGAACTTGAATCAGAGAGCAGTGGGGGAAATTCTGTAAGAGGGACAGAGCAGAGAATGGGAGGTGGGGGGGATTGGGAAACCGTATGGGGGGGGTCAGAATGAGCACAGCAGAAGGGGCCATGGACTGAAGTGATCATAAAGCAGAGCCCTGAGAAACACAATTGCCTCCATTTTAACCAGTTGGTCTCCTTTCCTGTAGCTCATTTTAGAAGAAGAGAAAGATGCTGTCAGCACCAGCCAGGACAGGTGTCGCCCACCCCGTTCTGGAGACCAGGTGGGCAGCCTGCTGTCAGGCCACCCACCATTTCCCTCTGAAGCCCACACTGCTGGTACTGGAATGAGCCAAAGACAAAACATGCCATCTGAGGCGAGAAATGAAGAAAATGAGAGAAATGCAATCAAATCTTAGTGAGACACAGCCAGGTATCTTCATCTCACCGAGATGACAGTGCAGTGCAGCAGAGCCTATGAGAAGCAGGACACTCCAGACGTGACTGGTCTGCTCCGCTGGCTGGCACAGCAGGCTTTACCATGGACCGCAATGGATGTTGGGACATTGCCCCATGCGCACTTTACAGCATCTTCATTCCTGATGGGGCTTGGTAATCTGTGAGAAATGAACTTCAATTGCTTTTTCTGCGAGTGCTAAAAACTTACTTTTACATCACTGGAGGGCCCTGGCAAAGCACATGTCAAGGACCTGCAGGTCAGAGGGACTGAAATAGCAGCTGTGAAATGAACACTTGATACTGTATATAAATTGAATGATCAGCTGGGTGATTTTAGAACTACCTGGGTGGAATTTATGTGTCTTCTGGATGAGATGATGGTTCTAGGCCAGTGGGAGTACCTCTGACACACTGTACAGTAATCAGTGCGAGGTGGGAGGAGAGCTGGGCGGGAAGAGGTGGGTGAGTGGCTTGACCTTGACCTTGTTCTTTTTCACCCCTCCCTTCTGACTGGTCTTTTCACAGGGAATGCTGAAACGGATGGAGCAGGTGCCTCCTTGCGGTGTGTGAGCTCGGGAGATGGCTCAGCATTTGCTTTCTGTGATGGTCAAGTGCTTCTTGACATCCAGGGCCCTAACAGTCTGGGAGATTCGGAGTGAGTTTGCCAATTTGCAGCTTTTACTTGGAAAAGCAAATCATGACCGAGGACCATCAAGAAAAGCATTCCCAATATTCACATACTCAGCTCTGATCTTCTTATTTATATCCTGTGTTTTCAGACACAGAGAGCAAGATAGAAAAAAGAAAAGTGCCAACAGACATTGGAGACACAAGGCCAGTGGGTGAGACTGAGATGAATACACACGAAACAAGAGAGAAGGATGAGGGAGAGAGAGGGGGAGGGTATTAGGGAAGAAGGGAAGGGAAGGAATGAGACATAATGAAAACATGGAGGGCAGAGGGAAGAGGAGAGGGAGAAATGGAGAGACACAGATAAAGGGAGACAGAGATAGAGAGAGATGGAAGGAAAGGTAAGCAAGCAAGAGGGAAGAGCAGAGCGACAAAGAGGGGCTTCACCAGCTGTGGTTCACACTGTTATTCAAAATTCAAACTTTTCTGTTAAAACACTCATAACTTCCTTTCTGTCCTACTTATCTTTTTTTTTTTTTTTAAGATTTTATTTATTTAGGGGTGCCTGGGTGGCTCAGTTGGTTAAGCGACTGCCTTTGGCTCAGGTCATGATCCCAGAGTACCAGGATGGTGTCCCACATCAGGTTCCCAGCTCCATGGGGAGTCTGCGTCTCCCTCTGACCTTCTCCTCTCTCACTGTCTCTCTCTCTCAAATATATAAATAAAATCTTTTTTAAAAAAGATTTTATTTATTTATTTGACAGAGATCACAAGGAGGCAGAGAGGGAGGGAGAGAGAGAGGGGAGGCAGGCTCCCTATTGAGCACTCGATCCCAGGACCCTGGGATCATGACCTGAGCCACCCAGGCGCCCCATCTACTTATGTTTTCTTACTCTTTCCTAATCAGTGTTCGGCTGTCTTTTGGTGAGAATAACAATTCTCAGTTTCTCGGTTATAAACACCAACTTATGACAACACAGCATTGGAACTAAATTAAAATTGAAAAAAAAATTTTTTTAAAGATATCATTGGGGAAAGTGGAAAGAGAAGAGAAAATGGAAAGGATATCTCAGCAGGTTAGTCCTCACACCTTTGGAGATGGCTTGGAGATAATAAATCAGATTTCTCCCGGAATGTTTAGATACTTGTAAATAATCTCAGCATCCAAACTTATGCATTGCAAACAACCTTGCTTCATCACACAGTAACACCCCACTGGATCAGAAGTGTAAATGGGGGAGAATGCTAATTAGGAAGGGGCAGGATGACCCAAATTTAACTCCAACAATGGAGATTCAAAGTAGCCACAGCCCAGGGCGGGAAAGAGATTGGAGTTATGTGTTTCAGCTACATTATGTCACCTTCATCCCTGTGTTACCCATGTGGTCCCGGTACCTCTTCTGAGCTCACTGGAGAAGGTTAAGACACACAGAGGCACACCCTGGTCTGCAGCCATTCTTTGCCCTACCCTGTGGCATGGGTTCCATGCTCACTTATCAAGTCCTTTACCAAGAACAACATATGAACAAAGCATATGTAATCTTTACTTCAGTCTCAGTTAATTCCATGCATCGGAGAATAAATTATTGAAGCCTGTTAATAAGTTGCTAATTTCCAAGTACAGGTAAGAGATAAAAGACAAGTTCAAAGGGGGGTTTAGTCTGCTTCGGGAGGTGGAGATTCTCAGGCATACCTCAAAATATGAACCGGAAAGGGACTCCAAAACTAAATTTCAAAAAAAACTTTACACTAATGGGGAACATTCATGCTCTCAAACTGGCACAGGCCGACTGGTGTTTGCTGGCATAAAGTTAGTACTCGCGCTCATCATTACTTAATTTGCGTGAACTAAAAATATTTCATCGTCCTACTGGTCACAGGCGAAAGTGGTGGATCTTGGAGAATCAGACTCATATCTAATGAACTCAAAGTTGAGCTCTTCTATTTTACACAAATAACAAATTCAAATCTTCTGGATAACATAGATACATTCCCCAGGAATTTTTTTTTTTTTTTCCCAACCCAAGACATTGGGTTGCAGGGACAGGCTGCTGTGATTTGCTCGGCTGGAATCCGCATCAGAGAGGAAATTAGTTCATTTGTGAATTATTCATGTTCTATTGCATCCACACTCCCTTAGGTTTTGCATCAAATAGGTCAACAGCAGTAGCAATTCTTAGATGGTGCTTTTCCTGTGGGGTCCTCACTTAAGGTGACTATTCCAATTTCATCCCAGGGTTAAGGAAGATGCTTCTTATAAGGGGCTATAGCAGTGAGCAAGGTTTGAGCAGGGGGAAAGAGCAAGACTGAAGAAATTTAAACCTGAAGCCTAGGCATCCGGATGTAAAACAGGTAGAACCCAACGCTAAAGAAGGTTCTTCCAATACACAGGTAAGTGGAAGAGATACATGTGTCCGGAAACCACGCAGATGCCCGAGTTACAAACAGGTCACATTGGGGCTGACATTTTGGAGTTTTCTTTTCTAGCGGACAAAGCCATGTTTGGGCCTAAGGTAACCATCTCCTTATGTCTCCTTGAAGTCCTGCTTGCCCACGGAGAGGGGACTTTCACATTTTCATCTGGCTCTGATTCCAGCTCTTAAACCTGCCCCGGGGAGGCCGCCCTGCTCCTGTGGCCTTCCAGTACAGTGGCTTCACGGTGGCAAAAAAAGAAAAAAAGGGGGGGGGAGATAAAGAAAAATAAATAGAAATCATCGGCTCTAAGAACAAAATCAGATCATCCATCTCCACAATGCCGAAGCGCGGGCACGACGGAGAACGCTGAGCGCGGGGTATTTGGCTCTCCCGCAGGCGAGCGCCGCATCCGAGGATTTCCTTGGACGAGCGGTGCAAAGCCGATCGCGGTCACCGCGCTGCACCCCCCGCCCCCGCCCCCAACCCGCAAGTAATGAACACACAACGCGGCCCGATCTCAGCGCGGTACATACCTTTCTCCGAGCACTTTTAACTTTTCCCATGTCCATTAGGCCTTACAGCCTAATCTCGCGCTGCCAATTGCTCCCATGGTGAGATCATTAAGTAAATTATTTTAAGATCAAACACCCTGCCGTGACAATAGCGTCCCATGTAAGGTAAATGCTTCAAAGGCCCCCCTTTCAAATTACAGCTCTCCGGAGTTATTCATCACCTCTCCGTAGGGCTCGGCCCGCCATTGCTTGGCTTTCTGCCGCAGGCGAAGGTAGCGCTGCTAATTGGCCTCTGTAACAAAACTGACCTGTGGACAGGATAAAACTTGTTTGGAGCTTAGAGACAAAAATTATTCAAGGTTAAAAACACATGAATGCCCCAGCTACGTCACCAAAAAAAAGAAGTGAATGAATGTCTTCCCCTGCGGTTCTTAATGTGAAAGAATGCGCTCCCGGCGCGCCTGGGTCAGACAAAAGCTCCATCAGGTAGCAGGCCCGACCGGGCCCTCGGGGACACTTTTCTCCTCGCCGGTTTTCCCCTGTCCCCTCCCACCCCGCGCTCTCCTCTTGGTCGGGTTCTCTTCTTTTTAAACTCCAAGACGAGGAGCTCCATCCTTTGCCTGCGTTCGGGGGCACCCCTTCCGGGGAGGGCCTTTGATCTCCCGGGATCGTGGCAGATGGAACAATTTAACTGCTTCGTACAGGTGCAGAGTTTACTTGACAGGTTGGGGCTTTTATTTCTAGCACATTAGCCGGGCGCATACAAATGGGTTTTTGACAAGAGTCAAGCAGGTAAAATAGCAACGAGGTTCCGCCAAAGCTCGGTCACACCTGCCGGGATGGCACAATTTGAAAATGCTGCATAAATTAAAGACAGGTAAAACTTCGGAGTTCCCTGCTGAGTGTTGTTTTTTTCTTCCTCCCTCTTTTTAACAACTTGCGAGGGTGGTAAGTAGCAGAGTCACTCTCCAGTGAGTAAACAACAAATGAGCTTCTTGATCTCCCCACGCTCCAAAGAGGCAGGGGCTGCGGCAGGGTGATTTCAAACCCGCACTCCTGCGCCGGGGGCCCCTAACGCTCCATTGGTATTCACCGACCACTGAAGAGAAATGGCAACTAAAGAAGGGCCCTTACAGTATTCCCCCTTTTGTTCCCTCTAAGGTTTCTTGTCTCCCGCCCGCCCCTGCCCCTTGTCTGTTTCCCGTTCTCCTCTCCAGGTAGAAGATTTAATGAACAAACAGTGCCTACTGCATC